CCCCAACCACCCCCCACCCTCTGCCAGCCCCATGCACCCATCCTGTGCCAGCCCCATCCACCCCCACCCTCTGCCATCCACCCATCCTGTGCCACTCCCATCCCAAGATCATTCATCCATCCACTACTATCCCAGTAACCCCCGAACCAGAGAGATGAGAGCTAACCTATCCCCATCCATCCCCACCCCCTAGGTAGGCGGGAAGGATGGCCCAGGGGTTAGAGCACTAGTCTAGGACTTGGCAGAGCTGAGTTCAATTCAGTGCTCTGCTATAGATTCCCGTAGCGCTGTGTGCCTCAGTTTCCCCGATCAGGAAGAGGGGGCTTGTGAGGCGCTCAGACGCCATGATAACGAGACCGATAATTAGTACCGACGCGAGATCTCGGTCTCTCAGCAGTTCTAATATCCCTGTTCCCATAGTAGCGAAGCGGGAGATGAAATCTTCAAGCGACGTTCGACTCCAAGTGCTTCTGCACACGGGGGACGTAGGGATCGTTTCCAACCTGCTCTGGAGAGGCGGCCACCTCTGGGGTGGGACGCGGCGGCCGTCTGCCGGCACACGCCAGCGCTGCACTGCAGCACGGGCCGGGCTGCGAAGGATTATCCTGAGCCAAGAAGAAACTGCAGGGGGGAGCTGAGGTCAGAGGAATTTAATCAGGGAACGCGGCCAGTAATACCCACGTCACTTGCAAAAATGCTACAGAATCGGCAGTCGCTGCCCAGACCTTAACTGGGAGGGGAGAGCCGCCCCCACCCTGAAGCACAGCGCCTCCTAGCGCCACACGGGGGTTTGCACTGAGTGCCAGGGGAGAGCGCCCCCTAGTGAGCTCATTCCTGACCCAGGAGGAGAAGCAGCCCCTAGGGAGCCCCCAGCATCACTGCTGCTACTTGGGGGTCTCCCATCCAAGCCCTGACCCTGTCTAGCCCTGCTTGGCACAGGCACGGTGGCAGCCGACTTGCCCTGCGGGCGCTGGCTGGGTGGGTGGGAGGCTGGGCTATCCCCCCACAGGTGTCTCTCCGAGCTGACAGCACCAGCATAGGGAGGACTGAAAAGCCACCCACCCTCCAGGCTAAAAATTGCCAGGGCATGACGCCAGCTGCGCCTGCTTCTCATCTCCCCGCTGCCCACACACCGCACGGCATCCCTGCCCCTTTTCCCATCACGGGCCGGCGCCCACCCCCGGGGAGCGATCCCAAGGGCCAGAGCGGGGAGCGAGGGCTCCAGCTTCATCCTTGATAGGGGCTGGGGGGAGGGACGGACAAACTCCCCCCCACACACACGCACACAAGCTCCTGGCTGGGAAGGGGGGGTTAAAAAGAGCCAGGTGGGGGTGGGGATCAAGTGGCTGGGAGGCGTTTAATTCCCTGGCACCAGTCCGGATCCAGCCCTGTCTCAGGCTGGAAGCTGCTTCCAATCTAACGCCCTGCGCCCCCGCCCACCACTTCGCCATGTGGACCGAGTTGGTTGGGTCTCAGTCCAGCTCCTGACCCCAGGGCTCCATCGACAGGACCCATGTGCTGGCAGTCCCAGCAAGGAGGCCATGGACGAGAGGGGGGTGACGAGACCGTCTAAGCCAGGGGCACAGGGTGTGTTATTATGGTAGTGCCCAGAAGCCTTCAACTGAGATTGGGGCCCGTGGTGCCAGAAACGGGAGCCCTGGCTCCCAGGGAACCCAGGAGTCCTGGCTCCCAGAGTCGAGAACCTCCCTGCTCTAACCACCCGAGCAGCCAGACGCAACAGGAAACCGGTCTGCAACCGAGAGGGGAAGAAGCTGCTAGATAGACGGACAGACAGATCCTCTCCCAAGCTGGGGCTAGAACCCAGGAGCCCTGGTTCCCAGCTCCCCCTGCTCTAACCACTAGACACCACTCCCCTTCCAGAACCAGGGACAGAACCCAGGAGTCCTGGCTCCCAGCTCCCCCTGCTCTAACCACTAGACACCACTCCCCTTCCAGAACCAGGAACAGAACCCAGGAGTCCTGGCTCCCAGCTCCCCCTGCTCTAACCACTAGACACCACTCCCCTTCCAGAACCAGGGACAGAACCCAGGAGTCCTGGCTCCCAGCTCCCCCCTGCTCTAACCACTAGATTCCACTCCCCTCCCAGAACCAGGGATAGAACCCAGGAGTCCTGGCTCTCAGCCCCACACTCTAACCACTAGACCCCACTCCCCTCCCAGAGCTGGGGATAGAAGCCAAGAGTCCTGGCTCCCAGCTCCAACCACTAGACTCTCTCCTGTTCGAGACACAATGAGCAAAGATCGAGGCGCTGACGTCAGGGGCTCAGCACCTGTCAGCAGGAGAACAGGGACGGGAGCAGCCCCGGGCAGTGCTGAGCCTGGCACCGGGCCCGTCCCATTCAGGATCGTCCCTTCAAACACAATAGGCTGCTTGAGGAAGCAACCCGGGGGCTCGTGGGAGCCAGATTCGGCTGGTGACTGAGACAGGCCCGATTCTCCGTCACTCGGGCCCCTCCAGCAGTGCAAAGGGGACCCCGAAGAGTCCCCCCAGCTCAAGGGGGGGGTCCCCCCGGCTGGTGTGGAGCTGGCGCATGGGCCCTGCTCCCAGCCCCCTGGCACAGGCGGTGGATCTGAGCCCCATGCCCAGGGGACAGATGGGGGAGCGTCAGGGACTGGATGGGGGCATGACTAGGTGGCCCTGGGGAGCGGGGAGGGGTGGGACCGGGTTCCTCTGCGCCCTGGCTATTCTCTGCCCCGCAGGGGCTGCGGGGAGCAGACGCAAGGATCCCAAGCCCAGATCCCCAAGCTCCCAGCCATCTTGGGCCCCCCCACTGAGCGTAGGGCCTGGGGCGACCTGGGCCAGAAAGAGAGAGAAGGGGGGCGGGGGGGAGGCAGGGTTTGGAGGAAGAAACAGAGGAAAGAAGGAAGGGGGGAGAGAGAGAGGAGGGCTGACGGGAGGGAGGGACTGAAGGGGGAGAGGGAGCGGTGGCGTGGGGATGGAGGGAGGGATGGAAGGGGGAAGGGAGGGGAGGTTGGGGGAGCAGTGGAGTGGGGGATGGAAGGAGGAGGGGAGGGGCTGTCGGGGGAATGGTGGGGTGGGGGATGGCGGGAGGGATGGAAGGGGGAGGGGGGCTGTTGGGGGAATGGTGGGGTGGGGGACGGAGGGAAGGGAGAAGGAAGGTAACAGAGGCAATGGGGGAGGGGAAGGGAGGCTGGGGGAGCAGTGGGGAGGGGGGGAGGGAAGGGAGGTGGCAGGGGGTGTGGAGTGAGGGATCGTAGGGGAAGAGAGGGGCCATTGGGGGAGCAGTGGGGAGGGGGATGGATGGGGGAGGGAGGGGAGGGGACAGAGGGAAGGGAGATGGCGGGGGAGGGTGACGCAGGGAAGGGAGGTGGCAGGGGAGTGGGCGTGGAGAGAGGGATGGAAGGGCCGTTGGGGGAGCAGTGGGGAGTGGGACGGAGGGAAGGGAGGTGGCGGGGGTCAGGGGAAGGGAGGGGTGGTTGGGGGAGCAGTGGGGTGGCGGATGGAGGGAAAGAGAAGGGAGGTAGCGGAGGCAATGGGGAAGGAAGGGGAGGTTGGGGATGCAGGGAAGGGAGGCGGCGGGGGGGCAGGCGGGGTAGGGGTAGGGGATGGAGGGAAGGGAGGCGGCAGAGGGGTAGGGGAGTGGGGGGAGGGGACACAGGAAAGGGAGGCAGCGGGGGTTGGGCAGAGGCGGCGGGGGGGGGGGCCGTACCATCGTTGTTGCGATCCAGGCTGTGGAACATGAGTCGCAGTTTGCGCTCTCGCTCCTGCAGGTAAGACACGAACTCCTCGAAGTCCAGCTCGCCGTCCCGGTCCGTGTCGCCCTCGCGCAGGATCTCCTGGGGGGAGAGCGGCCGTGAGGATGGGATGGCCCCGCACACCTTCGGACCTGCTGCCCAACATCCCACCTCCACTGCTGAGAGAGACTGGGAGCAGGACGCCTGGGTTCTATCCCTGGCTCTGGGAGGGGAGTGGGGTCTAGTGGTTAGAGCAAGGGGCTGGGAGCAGGACGCCTGGGTTCTATCCCCAGCTTGGGGAGGGGAGTGGGGTCTAGTGGATAGAGGGGAAAGGGGACATCCTCTGTGTGTGCCCCTGGGAATGTCTCCCCTGACAATGACAGAGCGGTTATTGTACCTGAGCTGATGCCACCTCTTACACACCTGGCCCCTGGCCAACCCAAATGTTCCCAGCGTCACAGGGGAGGTCTCCATCACCACGCAAAACCCAGCTCTACAAAGTGCCAGAATCCCCACTTCCACCAAGGGAAACTGAGGCACAAAGGGGGGCAGGGACTTGGCCCAGGAAGAGAACCCAGGAGTCCTGAGTCGCAGACACCCCCACCCCCAAACTGCACTCTAATCACCAGACCGCAGTCCCCTCCCAGAGCTGGGAATAGAACCCAGATGTCCTGCCTCCCAGATGCCCCTCCTCCAGCCAATGGTCCTGAGACACTCCTGTGCCCTAACCGCTGACCCATACTGCCCCTTGCCCAGAACTCCAGAACTGGGTTTGGTTTGGATCTGGATTCCACCAGGCCTCAAGCACCAGTGTCCGAAACGGGGGGTGGATAACAGCCCTCTGTGCTCTTCCCACAAACCACCGGGCCCTTGTGGTGGGGCAGGGGTCCATGGCCCAGGTGACCGGAACCAACAGCCCCACGCTGGTCTCTCTGGCTTTGCCACGTGTCCCTCGTTATTAGGGCACGGTTCAGGCCTGGATCGGGCCCAGCTATTTTCGGCTTGTTCTGTTTACATTCCACATGCCGGTCCGGCTCACTTGCACGTCCCAGCCGCTCATGTGAGAGGAGGAGGAGGAGACGGACAGCGGGGCGGGGGCGGATGTGAAGGCACATCTTGGGCACTTGTTCGGTGAGGCATTCCCAGGCACGTGCAATCACGACAGGCTGGAAATTAGGTAATCCAGGGCTTGGAGTAAGGGGATGGGGAGTCAGAACTCCTGGGTTCTAGTCCCAGCTTTGAGAGGGGAGTAGAGTCTAGTGGTCAGAGCAGGGGGGCTGGGAATCAGGACGCATGGGTTCTATTCCTACCACTGCCACCGGCTCCCCGTGTGACTTTGGCAGAATTCTCTGTGAGCTCAGGGTTTGGGGCCAGGCGATAGATTGGGGTGGGGGGAATCCGCTGGTTCTGTGATAGTAGAGGCCACGAGCAATGGGCTAAAAATAAGGCTGGAGACATGAGTCGGGGCCTATTTATACCTCCCCATGTTTGTATGTTTCATTCGGAACCCCCCCAGCTCCGTTTCCCCTGACACTGGGCTTCCTAAGCAGAGGGGTCCCCGGGCACTCCCGCCGACCCCATTGGCTGGAGCTGGGGGGCAGAACTGAGGGCGCAGAATGGACCCAGCCCGCCAGAGGGTCAATCCAAGCTGGAAAAGCCCTGCCGAGTCCTGCTCCCCACCCCCAGCCGCTGCAGGGTGGGCCTGGCAGATTGGGCCGTCTAGCGGCATAGAAGTGTGTGCACGGGGGCACGTGAGCGCACGCGCACTTGTTTATGAACACGCAGACACGCACACGAGGCTGCACGGGGGCATGTGAGCACGCACACGCTTGCATGTGACCATGCCCAGGCATGCCCGAGGACACGTGGGCACACGCAGGCATGAGGGCACCCCCAGGCAGGGCCATAAAGCACATGTCCAAGAGGACACAGCAGCACATGCACGAGGGCACATGTCTGCACGAGGGCACATGTATGCACAGACATGGGCTTGCACGGGGAGAAACAGGCAGACACACCTATGGGTTGCAGCCACACATGGGGCAGCTCACACAGGAACAGATGTGCACACATGGGCATTAGGGAGGGGGAGCTCAGTGGTTTGGAGCATTGGCCTGCTAAACCCAGGGTTGTGAGTTCAATCCTTAAGGGGGCCACTTAGGGATCTGGGGCAAAATGTCCTGTTAGTGAAGGCAGGGGGCTGGACTTGATGACCTTTCGAGGTCCCTTCCAGCTCTATGAGATAGATAGTTATAGGTATTTGCACACCCCCCCACTGTGGTTTGTGGGATAGTAGAATGCCCCCCTCCCCCATGGGTAAAGCTAGGGGGACCCCAAGCAAAGACCAAAATACCCTGAATAGAAGGGAGCACTTTCATGACAAATGTCTAGCAAGGGGATTGGGAGGCCTCCAGGACTCCTGGGTTCCATGCCCACCTCGGGGAGGGGAGGGGCACCTGGTGGGTAAGAGCAGGGGAGACAGGAAGCCATATACAAGTGGGTGTGGGCTCATGTCCTCCCCCATGAAAACACCTGTGCGTGTCCCGTTGGGTGAAACAGATGTCCTGATTTTATAGGGACAGTCGTGATTTTGGGCCTTTTTCATATATAGGCTCCTATTACCCCCCACCCCCTGTCCTGATTTTTCACACTTGCTGTCTGGTCACCCTAGTGTCCCTCACACACGGGTGCCCAGGTCCATGTACAGCTCGCCTACGTGCTCAGACGCCCCATGTGTGTTCACATGCAGACAGCTGCGTAGGTGCATGCCATCACGCGTGTGGTCACGTGCACGTACGTGTGTGTGTGTGCTTGTGCCCGCCACGCAGGCTGGGGTGCGTGGACGCCCGTGTGCCCTCGCCAAGCACGTCCCTGCTTGTGTGCAAGATGGGGGATCCATCTTTCCACTCACGGAGCCCCAGGTGTCCCTCCCCAGAGGTGGGCGCTCTCCGGAGGGGACTCTTCCTTGGGAAAGGGCACAAATAGGGTCAAAGTCTTGGGGGCTGGGGGAGAGGGGATCCCCCTCCTTGCACCCCAGGACCCCCATGCCCATCCACTCCAAGGGTTCCTGCCTTGCCCCATCTCAGGAAGGGAGCTGGGAGGAGAGGGGAGTAGCTCCCCATGTCACCGTCCATCCCCAGCTCTGCCTCTTGCTCCAGCTGCCTGGGGGCGCGGGAGTGGGGAGGGAAGGACTTTCCAGCCCCACACTGGAGACCCATCACTTCCCAGGCAATGCATCTGGCTCAGGAGGTACCCAAAATGGGAAGCAGTGGGGTCTAGTGGTTAGAGCAGGAGGGAGCTGGGAGCCAGAACTCCTGGGTTCTAGTCTCAGTTTGGAGGGGGACTGGGGGTCTGGTGGGTTAGCGCAATGGGGGCTGGGAGCCAGAACTCCTGGGTTCTAGTCTCAGTTTGGAGAGGGGGTGGGGGTCTGGTGGGTTAGAGCAATGGGGGCTGGGAGCCAGAACTCCTGGGTTCTATTCTCAGTTTGGAGGAGGAGTGGGGGTGCGGTGGGTTAGCGCAGTGGGGGCTGGGAGTCAGAACTCCTGGGTTCTATTCTCAGTTTGGAGCGGGAGTGGGGGTGTGGTGGGTTAGCGCAATGGGGGCTGGGAGCCAGAACTCCTGGGTTCTAGTCTCAGTTTGGAGAGGGGGTGGGGGTCTGGTGGGTTAGAGCAATGGGGGCTGGGAGCCAGAACTCCTGGGTTCTATTCTCAGTTTGGAGCGGGAGTGGGGGTGTGGTGGGTTAGCGCAATGGGGGCTGGGAGCCAGAACTCCTGGGTTCTATTCTCAGTTTGGAGGGGGGGGGGGGGTCTGGTGGGTTAGAGCAATGGGGGCTGGGAGCCAGAACTCCTGGGTTCTATTCTCAGTTTGGAGGGGGGGGGGG